GAGTTGTGAAATATTGGGATTTATTTCTGTATTTTTAGCTGAAAGCACTTTGAATCTTCCTAAACTCAGAACTTGGTACTTGCTCTACCTGCTTCCTAACTGCATTTCTACCTCTTGGACCACATCTCTACCTGAGCTTTTCACTGGTTTGTTTTGGAGATTCAGTCTAGCTAACTTCTGAGTAGCTAGGATGTGATTCCATGGCCCACCTCCATGTATGACCCGCTCTCTGCTTGCTGAGCACATGCTTTAGATCATAGTTAGCAGCATAAACCTGATAGGTAGCCATCGGCAGCCTTACCTTTCAGATAAGAAGAAAAATCCAGGCCCAGAATTTTTAAACAATGTGTCCAAGATCTAAACAAAGGGGATTTTCTTATTTCTTTATCTTTGGATACCACCATTCATCATGTGAATCAAGGTCCTGGACATCTGGTCAAGTGTGTGTTCTTGGATTTCCCAACGGTTGTATGTGGGTTGTTTTTGAAAACCTTTATTTCCCTTTGAAATATAGGGGCTTTCTTGGTTTGTTTTGTTGTTTGCATTGGCCATCTGCTTTGGATCTAATGAGACTATCCATGCACATCACTATGTAGACATGACATTCTGTCTGCTGGGAGGGGTACTGCAGATGTCGGCTTGGGGTATCTATGCTGTGGCAGGACACCGCTCTTCCCTGGTTGCCCTAGGCAGCTTGGTCTATTTTTAAACGCAGATCCTTCCCTGCAGGAGTGTTTGTCTGTGTGTCTGTCTACATATCCTACCTTTCCCAGTACCCTTGATTCCCCATCTTGATGTAAGATAAACTTTGAGAGGCCTGTGTTCACTTGTGCTGCACTGCTTCTTGGACAAATTTAATGATCTATAGAGTGCACTATCGAGTATCAAAAGCCCCACTAAGGTGAAGCTTGAGGTCGTTGTGCTCGTGTTCGCTCTAGGGGAGGGCAGTGGAGTAGCTGCTCTGTGGGATAGATCTACTCACAGACATTTGTCTTCTTTGTGTCCTTTTCAGTTGGAAAGGCTGGGTGTCTAGGACACAGTTTTTCATATCATTGTTTATAACAACTACTGTGTATTGAGGGCTGGGAACAGGACCGGGCACTCGACCTGCTTTTAACTGCAGAGGGTTTGGGTTTGGAACTGTGTGCATGTCATTGCAAATTAAAGCATATCACACATGCCACCCCCAGGCAGGCCCTGGACAGGCACCTGCAAGTACACCTGTGTGCTGCCGCCCTGACTGGCTGGGAAACAGTCCAGGAAAGTGAGGTCCCTAAAGATGTGGCTAGCTCTTGTTCCAGTGCCTTTGTCCTTCAGGTGGCTGCCAAGGATGAATCTGTACTGCTTTGGGCCACAGCGCCTCCTCTCCACTTAGCAGGCATGGGTCTCTGTACATTGCTGGAGACAGGAAATACTGACATTGGAAGAGAAAACCCTCCTCCACATTGAGCTGGGCATGTGCACACACAGACACACACACAGACACACACACACACACACTCTGTTTGGTCTTGTTTCATGTTGTGAGGCTATTCCTCTTAAAGAGAACAGAGAAATATTTGCCTTCTCAAAGGTTGGATTCCAATCAACTGTTGTAACATGAAAACAGTCTGTGTTCACATGGGCATGGACTGCCTGTCTTAGTTTTGTGTGTAGGCCTGCGGAGCCCGGTCCGCTGGAGGTGACATTTCCTCTCCATAGAGGCCTTGGTCCTTCGCCTCCCTGTGGGATGCCACATCACTGCCTTCCTTCCTCCAGAGGGCTTTGCTGAGGTTCCGGGGGGCCCGAGGCAGGCAGTGGCAGCGACCATGAAAGCAACCTGTAGCCTTGGCGGCCTCTTCACGTCACTAGCTTGGACACTGTGCCCTCCAGCTTTGCAGGGCAGCCTGGGCATCTTTCTGCTCAGCTTCAGGCCTGGTGTGCTTCTGGCCCGTGGTTGGGTGGATATGGGCCTCTCACAGAGACATTAGACATGCACTCTGCGAGCTCTTTCCTCACACCGCTTTACCTGGTCTTCGTAAAGTATGCTTACTCCAGTTTCCCTTGGGGGCGCTCAGTGAATGAAATATCTTTAAATATGACAAGATGCCAGTGAACTTTACCGAAGTTTTGTTTCTCATCATGAGGGGCTGGATGACAAATGGGTGAAGCGAGCACAGACCTCGGACTGGGTGGGTGGTGGGCGTTCTTGTCAGTTAGCCAAAGATGTTGGATGGCATTTTGCTGCCAGGATGAACATGCAGACATCTCCTCCTTCACCCTGGAGTAATTCTGACAAATGGAACCAACACACGCAATTAGCTCTGGGAACAGTGCAGGCCCCAACTGCCTGCCCAGCATGACGGATAAATGGGGCCAGGAGGGGTGGAGAAAGGCCAGGACATCTGGCTACCGGGGAAAGGATGGCCAGCTCTGAATTTTTTGTTTTGTTTCATACTGGCCCTAGGGCTTGAACTCGGGGCCTTTGTGCTGTGTGTAAGCTTTTGTGGTCAAGCCTACTTCCTGTTCTCCCACTCGATCCACGGCTTCCCTTTTGGCTGTTTGCTGGTTAATTGGCGATAACAGCCTCATAGACTTTCCTGCCCTAGCTAGCTTCAAACCTTAAGTCCCAGATCTCAGCCTCCTGATAGCTAGGATTATAGGCATGAACCGCCAGTGCTGGTACATGCCTTTCACCCTCTGCCACTTTGAGTCCCTCCTCAGCAGGCTTTAAAGAACATGTTTACAAGGCTTCCTTGTTGCTTTTCCTTAGCTGTGAACACCTGCTCTAAAATGCTTTGGAAATTGGCTGGTTCTCCAGAATGGAATCCATTATAGAGAGGATGACCAAGTGGACAGGGACAGCCCAGGTTTTTGGAGTGCTGAAAGTGGGCCCTTGTGAGCTACCTGTTCCCCTGGCAGGGAGAGAGGACTTGCGTGGAGGTGTTGAGTGGGGGCCACACGAAGGGCAGCAGAGCCAAGCAGGGCTCTTCTAGAATTCTTCTAGGTGAGTGTGTGCCTTCCACCCATGTTGCCTGTGGCTGAGGCCAGCAGATGCGGAGTGACTGAAAAGGGGGGATGTAGTTTGAAGACACTGGAGTTCTAGGGAAGAGATACTGGGTTTGGGGTCCTCATTGGAATAACGCATTCCGTGCGGCTATGTTTGCAGATGGATTCACCCCTGGGAGTCATTTCTCTTGTGAGGTTTGTTCTTGACTTCAACATCGGTGCCGTCTCCTACCGTGAAAGCTTGACTTGGCTTTTGGGAGCCCCTCAGGTTCCAAAGGATCACATTCTCTCTTGGGATGGCCTTGGTGCTCTCGTCTATATCACACGAAGAGTTAGATGAGCTGATACGGGAGTGGGTATGAGGACTCTCTTAGAGCAGAGACCCAGTGGCCCCATAGCTCTGTGCGTCCCCTCTTCCTTGACTTCCTGCAGGATGATGTCTCCAGTCATCACTGCCAACAAGCCTGGCCTGCCAGCTTCCCTGGTGACATACAGTTTTAGCATCCCATACATTATTTGTGCCGGTGGATGGATTATTATCATTGTGAAGTCAATATGTAAATCAGTATATCCATGTCTTCATATACTCATTGGCCTAAACTCTTTCTGGAAACGCCGATTTTTGATTAGTTTTTTTTACCATGAAATAAATGCAAATGGAATAAAAAACTTTGGCAATTAACTGCCCATAGGAAGAGCATGGATCTGAAGTTTTTCTTTTCTTTTTTTGGTTGATCTTGGTGCTTGAACTTGGTTGCCTAGACTCTGTCCCTGTACAAGGCTAGCTCTTTACCACTTTGAGCCACAGCACCACTTCTGGTTTTCTGGTGGTTAATTGGAGATAGTCGTATAGACTTTCCTGTTTGGGATGGCTTTGAACTATAATGCTCAAATCTCAGCCTCCAGAGTAGCTTGGATTATGGGCATGAGCCACCAGTGCCTGGTGAGTTCATGTTATTTCTAGATCTTTCCTTCTCCTTGCTTGTGTCGTGTGCCTGCCTTGTCCTCCCCTCTGCTCCAGTCTCTCCTTATACCCTTGTCCTTGGGAGAGCTCTGTGTGCACTTCTGAATGCGTAAGAGGAACCATACCAATGTTGCACGCATTTTTCTTTCCTTACATAAACCACTCAAGGAAACATTAATGCAAAACATGCTTTTTATGTATCATTAATGTTGTAAATCCTAAAATCCAGCTACATCGATTTAATGTTGCCAAACCCCGCCGCCTCTCTCATGCTTTGCATCTTAAAGGAAGCAGTAACGTTTGGGTTACTGTCAAAACACCGAGCGGGTGCGATAAACAAGCCAGGTTGGAAACTAGAGGATGCTGGCGTTCTCCTGGGTTTCCCAACTGGAAGAGGCAGTTAGGAATTTCATTTCATCTCTAACTTCATTTGCATCTGTTTCCTTCTTGCTCTTCCGTTTTCTGAGCAGTCGTTGTGTGCGCCTATCTCAACAGCAAATGCAAGCCCACACCTTCTTTGGCCTGGTCCTCACCCTTCCCACCGGTATCTCTTCATTTTACCTTTGTTTTTCTCAGAGTGACGTTTCTGTCCCTGAGTCCTATTTGTTCATCCTTCATCCCCTCTACACCCTGGGAAGGGCCCAGTGTGTTCATGTCCTGCTCCATAGCTAGCTAGACACAGAAATATGCCATCGGAGGTTTTTTTTCCCCAGTTACAAGAAGTAAAGCTTTTAAGGTTGTAAATCAATACGTTTATAGTATGAGAAAATAAATTTTAAAAAAACCCATGGTTTGTGTTTACATCTTCTCTAGTATATGTACAGCTATGTTTTGTGTACATGATGCATCTTCGTGACATACTGTGTATGTTCATGGAGATGCTCACAAAAGCACAAGTACCTGTGTGAGGTTATAAATTCCTGACAGCCATAGAAATGATGGCACTGTGGTCAACAATTGCAGCTTTTGTGGTGCAGAATGTGAAGATAGAACGCATAAAGGGTCCAAGAGCGCCTGGCACTGATGGGCCGCCTTGTGTTTCCTGTAGACTGCAGAGAGATCCTGCTCCCCATGATGACGGAGCAGCTCAAGTACCACCTGGAGAGGCAGGAGGACCTGGAGGCCTGCTGCCAGCTGCTCAGCAACATCCTGGAGGTGCTGTACAAGAAGGACGTGGTGAGTGACAGCCCGCCCCTGTGTCCAGCTCCCGGGCAGCCTCGCCTGCCATTGGCCTTCACCTTGATGGTGCTCCATAAACCTGTACCCAATGCATTTGCCAAGCCTTGGTCCTTGTGTGCAAGCTCAGCCTCTCTCTTTCTCTCTGTAGCAGTGTGCCCTTGCCTTTTTTATTTATGCATAGATCATGATGTTGTATTGCAAGGTTTATCCTGTTGCAATCAAATTAGTTTATTTCCCAGGTCTTCCCAGTAAATGCCCCTCTCAGCCTCCATTTTAGTCCTGAAGGTCAGATAAAGACTTCTATGCTGAAATCTGGCTAATTACCTACACTCTTTATTGAATTTTTTATTAAACTATTAGATGCACAAAGTTTTTTTGTTTTAAGGCAACAAGACAAGTGTGCTCTGGGAGTTCTCCTGAGAGAACGTCTCTCTGCTCCTCAGCCAGCAAGGAGTGGCCTCCACAGCCTTCCCAGCTCCGAATATTCTTTGGCGTTTCTGAACGCTATGCTTATCCACTGGTCTTGTTTCAGTCAATCAGATGTTGGGCAGCACATATGGGAGAAGCTCCCCATGGGCCTCAGTCCCGAGCAGCCCCCTGTGGTGGTCAGGCCTGTGCGTGTGCGTGTGATGCCATGTGTGCGTTGCCTCTCCAGGAGTGCCTCCAGGGCTCTACCTGCCTATGTTCCTAGCAGGCAGAATCTGTTCTGAGGTCTCTTCTGCATGACCTGGCATGACATGCTCATGCAGAAGCATGCATGCTGACGTGAGCACGCATGCACACACAAACACACATGAACACACGTGCTGGCACAGTCTCTCCAAGCCTCTTAGGAAGAGGATCAGTCCTTGTGTCGATACTGGACTGGCTTTCCAGGGCCTTGGCCTTTGGAAAGGGTTGCCCTGCCCCAGGCCAGCTAGAGAGGCTCCACCAGACCATTGCTTATCTTGCCAGAGAATTGGTTATGCGAGAAGGTGGTAGGACAGACCACAGGCAGGGGAGGGGAATTTGAAGGAAGGCCCAGTATGTACATCGTGGTTTGTGGAAGAGGATCAACAACCCCATCCCACACTAAATAAAAGGGAAGTCCACGGCAGTGTGACTTTCAGATAGTTTACTAAAGTGACACTCACACCTTCTGTTCTTTGTGACTGTTGTCAGGCCTTGACTCTCAGAGCAGTTCAGCTTGTTATCTGCCTGCCTTCCACTCACAGACGGCCAAATGTCTTTAGAAAACTAATTGGTGGTCTAATCAGGGATCATAAACATTACATTGTTTAAATGGATTTGCTTTCAGTTTTAAGGTTTGCTTAAATTAAATTACTGTGATTATAGCAGATTATCATTAATAGACTATAATTAATAAAATGCATTCAGTTTTCTTTAGGAAGGCTTTGCCTTTGACAAGGATCATTTCCTCTCTCTCTCTCTGTGTGTGTGTGTGTGTGTGCATGTGCATGCTTATGCATCTGGCCAAGGGTTGTAATTGACTGACTCTTCACAGTAAGGGGCCTTATGATGGACAGCCGCCTTGTCTCCATGCTGACAGTTGTGTCTTCCTCCAGGGGCCAACACAGAGGCATGTCCAGATAATCATGGAGAAACTTCTCAGGACAGTGAACCGGACCGTGATCTCCATGGGCCGGGATTCCGAACTCATTGTAAGTGCTCAGTGGCTCCCGCTTGGATGCTCCAGGCACCGCCATTTTCTCTCCCACCTCCAATTTCATCTGGTCTTTTTCCAACTGGCATGGAGAAACGAGCTCACTTTCTTAAGACAGAGTGAGCAGTCGAGACACAGTCTGGTGTAGAAAACTGTCTCGTTTTTCCACGTGCTTTTAGAGGCCATGCCTGAGATGGAGGATAAGCAGCCAGCACTTGAGACACAGAAACATTTGGTGCTAAATTTTCTTCTTTCTTCTAACCGAAGACGTGCATTTCCTTCTCAGTCTTTTTTTCTTCTGGCAATGTCGTTCTTTCTATTTACATTTAAGGTAGCACTAATAAAATTTTATGAAGGGTCTTAAAAAGTAATTGAGCTACTCCATGTTGGCTATTTTATTGTGGACTCTAATGTAGTCTAGGTGAGTTTCTCTTATACTGAGAAGTTACACTTTGAAAACTATTAATTTATTCCAAGAACATCTTAGCAATTACTGTAATTTTGTATCATGGTGCCTTTGTTCCGGAGTCTTCCGCCTTCTCCCCCTGCTCCTTAGTTTGATTCTGTAGGGAGAAGAGCCACAGGCCAGTCTTGACCTTTTTCCACTTGTAATGTGCACGGTTCTTTCAGTAACCTGACTGGATGGCTTTTCAGAAAAATAACTTTCATACTTGAAATATCAAAAGCCGGTATAGGTTTTCACTAGCAGTCAGAAAAGGCACATGAGCCTTCATTGTGTGAGATCTTGGATCTTTCCACCTAGCTAGAGAGTGGACAAGTAAGGGGAAATCCCTGCCTCTCTTGGTGGCACAGAAGACATAGCCCTGCACTCATTTCCTGGCGGTGGCTGGCCTCCTGACAGAGGATGGATGCTGCAGGAGTCAGCAAGGGACGCAGAGGCAGACAAATGCGTTGGAGTCTGTCTTTCTTCAATGAGCCATGCTGGCTTATGTCTTTGAGTCTCCGGACCCGCTGTGTTCAGGCACTTTCTTTTTATGTTTGCGTCATATACTTTTGGGCTGTAGCAGGGATGAACTAGGAAATTGGCAGTATTTGAAGTAGGCTTTCCATTGTTGTATGTCCATTTCCCTGTTTCTTTGAATACTTTACTCCAGGACTGTTGTTCACCAGAATGTAGAAAAACCTTTTTATCCTTATCACTGAGAGGACAGAGCTCTGTGGAGTAGGAGGTCTGATGTTGTAGTCCTCTGGAGCACTTGATACATGTGCGTATGGGCACTAGGAAAGGGGCTCAGGTAGAATCGATGGCGTGTGGCTTGAGGCTGAACCATGTGTTGTGACATTCTGCCATGTCACTTCTTGGAATGGGCTGGCTGAGTAGTGAGGCTGATATGACAGAATGGTACACGGGAGGAGGGCATGAGGGATGAGCGAGGTGGTCCCGTGCTCACAGTAGGTGGAGGTGTATAACATAGACCCCAGGGAATGAGGTGGGGAGGCACAATCCTTCCTCTGAGTAGAACCAGGTCTTCTGCATGCTAAGCACATGTTCCACAACTAAGCGACACCTTCTGCCCTCTGATGAGGGATGTTGTCCTAGGGCTGTGCTCACATCGTTGTCTTCCTGCCAGCAGTTAAAATGGGCAGAGGAGGGCGAGGAGAGACCCAGACAGCACTGCACGGGTGGTAAGCCATCTTTATTGCAGATAGAATGAAGGGGGTGAAGCATGGCATCTCCTTTCAAACCTTGGGGTCCAGGACGCATTGCTCAGTCACACAGTAGTAGTGACAATACAACAGCGACTCTGCGATGAGCTCTTATTAATGGGCTGGAAACTGAAGAATGACCGGCAAGTTTCGTGGTTAATTCTCACCTCCTCTGGCATGGACTATTGTACCAAATGTCCACAGGCCAATGGGGAATCTGTTAGGACCTCTGACCAGCGTGTCAGAGCTGTGATAGAGCCCAGGTCTGGTGTCCACTTGTCCTCAGTCTTTGCTGGGAGCCTGAGTCCCAGTGCTTGTGCCCTGCCCTCCTTCAGCGGGGCGCCAGAGGCCTGTGAGCCGTTCGCCACTGTCTTTCTTGTGAATGAGGCGGCTCTCGGGGGAATATATTCTATGCTCTGCCTTGATTCACTTCCATCAGTGCCCAGTCCAGGGTCTCCCGGAGGGGGAGGGGCCAAACCACCAGTTTGCTGCCATTCCATTCCCTGACTTGGAGCAGCCTCCATGCTCCTTGGGGTCCTTGGGCATTCCTGCAGCTGGGCCTTTGCATGGTCTGCAAAGCGGGCCTGCCAGTCCTCGCCCAGCCCTGGCCTGCCCCACGGTTCAGGACACTGTCAGTGACTGAGCAGGCCCAGCCCACTGCTGTGTCGAGGCTCTTCCCCCACAGCCCTACCTTCTGCTGAAGTCTATGGAAGCCAGAAAGTGCCTGAGTGCTTCACCTGCCTGCTTCCCCTTCAGCAAACCTAACTGAAAAAAGGACTCTTAAAAAGTTTACTTAGCTGTTATTTTGTAAATCTGAGTGACCATGGGAGAAGTCTCAGAGAGAAATAACCCTGAATACGCTGTAATTACTTCCTGAGTGTGACAGCATGAAGATGTGTCAAGAAAGGCATTCACCACTTAATATTTGGGTTTTGAGACACACCTCTCAGTTGTCCACTAACTCAGAGCCTCATCTCGGAGTCTGCCGAGTGCGCGATGGAAGCGGTGTCCTGCTTAATGCACTTCGCCTTGGCCTCCCCCTTTTCTTACGGTATAGGTGTGCGCTGTGACTTCTCATCTCTGCTGCTCCTCTGTGCCATTGGGTTAGAGAAAGAGTACAGCACACATATCCCCAGCAGGCCTGAGACAGCGTATCAGTGGATATCTGAGCATGGAGAGAGGAGCAGGCAAAGGTTCACACATGTGTCTTGTCTACCTTGGAGGTTTTAAGCTTTGTATATTACTCGGGTGTGTGTGTGTGTGTGTGTGTGTAAACTGTGTGCTAGAGAAGTTGAATGACTGAGGAACTGCTTCAAGGTTCCAAGTTATCTGTCAAAATGGACTTTTGAACACCTTGAAGTTATTTCAAAAAAAAAAAAAACTCTTGAAACTATCCTCTTTGGGTCTCACTTTGTATGAGTTTCTTGAGTACTGTTTACTTTGTCATATCTCAATGCATTTGAAACCTAACATCTGTATGTCAGGGAGACCATGTGCCTTTTGTCTCTCTGATCTTGGCTTACCCCACTCAAAATGTAATGTCCAGGCACTTCCTCATATGTCTGTAAACTAATATACAAACTGAAAAGAACCCCAAAGACAAGGTTTCACAAAGGACCTCCTCTTAATTTGTCTTGCTGGTATTCTTTATCTCATAAGTGGTGTATACACATGCACATCTGAGGGAGGTGGGAGGAAGACACAGAATCAATGGAAAGCGGGTGGAAAAATACAGTAGAGGGGCCGTCAGCTTCACTGAACATTGAGGAGAGTGAATGAAGCAACTCAAGGGCGGTGATGGGAGGAGGGCAATGAGTGAGGAGGGAGCAGCGGATACATGTAAAGTTAACCTTGCTGTATATCACTTCTAAAACAACAGTATAATAAGAAAAAAATCTCGAAGAGACTTGGCTCGCTCAGCTAACTTCCTGCTTGGAACTGGCACTAGAAGCAGTGGACATTCTGTCAGGTTGCACGGGGAACAGTATCCGTCAGGACTGCCCTTTGGCAGTCTCTGCCTAGTTGTGTTATAGATGGGAACCGGGCAACTGTCACCACAGCTGGTAAGCTCTGATAGAAGCACAAGGCTTCTGTTATCAGTGTCTGTGATCCTTTATAAAAGCTTCATTTTGCAGTCAGCTATGTATCATTAGTTTGAGTTCATTATATTTGAAATGGCTGTTGGAATGCATTTCATGCATAAGGGTGAACTCTCCCATGATCCTAAGTATTATATTAAAATAAACCAAAAACACACAGAACACTGTTTGGCTATAGGAGAATAGATATGTTGTTACTCTCAACAAGCCCTGAAATTGAAGTTTTGCAGTGACCTTGCCACAGATTTGAAGGTCTGATGCTGTGGCATAATTGCGCTTCTATCATGTTAGATTTCATGGTTCCTCTTTCTCTTCCTTTCTCAAAGACTGCCCAGGCCCTGCACATATTCAGTGTTCCTCTCTCTTCTGTGTGGTTGGCAGGGTTTACTGCTGAGCAGGGGTCCTTTATAGGCAGGGATCACAGCTGGGGCAGATGCCTCGTGTTGTCTGTAGGGGCCAGAACAGACATTCGGTGGTGGCCTGGGCCTTACTGAGCACAGTCTTCCCCGGAATTAGCTGCTGAAACCATTGATACGTAGCAATGTTCCTTCTTCTATGGTATTACAGCTGGCATAGCTTCTTGAAGATGATTGGATTTGCATTTTGTTCATGGATCCTTTAAAAGTGTAACCGAGGGGGAAGGACTGTTGTAGAATCTTCTTTGCCCTGGATGTACTCCAGAAGACTGAAATTTACTAATTCACAAACATGGAAGTGTGGGCCTCATCTAATGAAGGTGTTTTCCTGGGAATGTTCACAGAAGCAGCTATAGGGATAGAAAGACCTGCCTAGATTCTCCACTAAGCCTCTGACTTTCTGGAGTCTAGTGATGGACACTTCTTTTTTCTTCTCCCCTCTGGGTACCTGATGTGGGGGTTAGGATTTTGATGTTGGTGCCAAGGAAAAAAATCCATATTTTCTTTGTGGGTGGTTCAAATAAGTACCTGACAAGCTTCTTCATTTGGAAAATAGGTTTATAGAATTGGTTTCCTGGTGAATTGGGCCTTGTTACCATGGCTCAGAAGCAAATCTTTCTGCAAGGATGCTGAATCCTGCATGAGCTGTTATATCGAGATGTTTATTCTCTTGGAATTTAAGTATATGATATGCTTTTTAAAAAATTGCTGTTTTTTTAAGTCTGTTGGCAATGGAGAAATATATTGTAAATGTTTCGAGTAGACAATGTGTGGCTCTTGTATTCAAGTATCACACAAATTCTTAATTACTCCGCTTGTTAGTAAATCTTCTGACAGAGCACAAGGTTTTCAGAAAATCTCCCTAATGCACATCTGTGTATGAACAGTGATGTCTTTATAAGTTTAAGATACTTTCATTTTATGTAAATTTATGTAATTTCATTTTATGTAATTTTATTGTTATTATTAGGGTGTTGTATGGAGGGTTTGCCATTGTATGTCAAGTAATGAGCCTAATTCTCTTTGGACAATGTCACCCCTCCCTCTGCTTCCCCTGATTTTCCCTTCCAGCTCTGCCTACAAGGTATGTAGTTGGTATTGGTAGAGCAATTTTTCTTGATTCCTGTGGTCCCCAGTGTTTTTTGTTGGGGGGGGGCTCGAACTCAGGGCCTGGGCACTGTCCTTAAGCTTCTTTTGCTCAAGGCTAGCGCTCTACCACATGAACGATAGTGCCACTTCTGGCTTTTTCTGTGTATGTGGTACTGAAGAATGGAACCCAGGGCTTCATGCATGCTAGACAAGCACTCTACCAATAAGCCACATCCCAGCCCCCTCTCCTCCAGTAGTGTTTTAAGGTTGCCCACTCCCTGTGGGTTTATGGCAGAGGAAATAAAAATGTTATCAGTACATGATCGAAACATGTTTTATAATTTCTGCATATAGATACTAAACTGCCAAGGTGGCTTAAGTTAATTACTGAGTGATTTCCAGGGTAATAAGCAGCTTTCAGTGATCTGCCACCCATCAGGCTGCATGCTACCAATTACAACATGATTAGTTTATGCTAATTCATGATTGGGATGGGACATCTTTGCATCATAGTGCTGTTTACTTCCAGACCAAGTGTGAGTGGTGGAGGTTTTGAAGATCAAGGAACACATTGGTTTGGATATCTGCCCCTGTTGTCTTTAGGTGACTTTGCACCTATGAGACTGCTTTTGTTAGCATCAAGCGAAATTTCACTTACTGGTAAAAATGCTCCTAAAGAGTCACCCAACAGTGGTAGGCTTTGTAAAGTTGTCTTGGCCTTCTAGACAATGTGATAGGGAAAAGTTCCCACCCCTTACTTGTTTCTAGTTCTTATCCTCAGCCATGAAAAACTCTTTCAGTGGAAGTGGTCATTTCGGGTTCATTTAGTGATTGTGTATCTTAATTCCTACCCGCGTGTGGTAGGTCCCTCAAGGAAAACTGTGGTACCAGAAGCCTCCTTGCTCTTGTCACTGTATGTGTGTGTGGCGGGGGCGGGGGGGGGTGTTCAGCCGAGGCCCGGTTTTCCTCACCCCTTTGGTACCCAGCTCTATGCAGCAGGCCCCTGAGCAGCCTTGCAGGGTGCCTGGGGGTCCTTCTCAGTTGGTTAGCCGATGCCTTTCCTGTCTCTTTCCCTTTCTGGGAGAGGCTCCTGGAGGTGGGGGTGGTCAAGAGTTTACAGATGATTATAGAATGTATCTGGGGAACCTCTTCCCCTCCTCCCCTGCCCAGGTGAGGGCGCCTGCCTTCCTTTTACACATAGCTCCGGTCTTCATCCATTTCTTTCCCCTGAGCAACTTGTCAGGGCTGCAGAAGCCTCTGGTCCAAGTCCGCGTGCCCTGTGGCTTGCCAGTGGGTTCTGGACACTGGTAGGGCTGGGTTGATTTCACCGAGGAGGCAGGTGCTAAACCCAGCCAAGGCAATTACCCCCTCCTGTGGAGCAGAAAGGCAGGAACAAAGCCAGGAGCTGTCCTGTCCCTGTGGCTAGGATCCCCCCTGCTTGGTGGATGCTGTAGGGTGAAGCTGTCTGCTGGCACCCAGGGAGCGTTGTGGTGGTGACACTGGCTGAGGTGAGCTGCCCATGCTGGAGCTCTTTAAAAGTTACACTTCACACTACAGGCATGTGGTGCTCTAAGCCTGTTTGCTTCCCTGCCCATCTTAAAAAGTTAACCTGTCTTGTTGGTGTCCAAGCTCACGCTAGGGAGCTGGGCAAACCTGGCAGGTCCCCTATCTCCAAGCCAGCGCAGGCAAGGCTTGACGGTGCCCAGATCACAGCGTACCTGGCTTTGTCCTTCCCGGGACCCATTCCTTTCTTCACTATGATTTTCTTAGCTTACTTCATATTTTTCCAATGTCCTGAGGGTAAGAAATGAATTTAGAAGCCATACAAAACAGTATGTTTGAGTTTTTATTTAAAAATTAGTAAAGAACTTGATGACAAGTATAATAATTGAAGTCTCTACCTGTAATGGCATGAGTTACGTCTACATATGGGGAAGACTGATTTACCGTGGTTTGGTATCAAAGTTTTCACTTCAATCTTCCCAAGAGAAGGATCACCATCTGTCAAGGATGAGTTGCAATTAACCTAGGAAATGGTTTTTAAAATATATTTTTCTATTTGGGAGATGGCATTACTTTTAGGGTGAAATTAGTTTATCTTTAGAGTTTTCTTTTTGACTCTAACAATGCTTATCTTTTTATTTTTTAGTTTTTTGGTCAAGACTAGTTGGAAATGGTGACCTCTCTGGGGCTGGGATGTGTTCTCATCTGGACACTGCGCAGTACTGGCTAGAAAGCACTCCATTCAGCTCACCAAGAGGGGGGGGAGGGAGGGTTCTTCTGACATAAGGAAAGATAACTTGTTGCAAACATTTTCATAACTTCAGTTAAAAACAGTATAAAAAACATGAAACACGTTTTTTTTAAATATTGAGTCTACGTGAAACAATTGCACTTCCTTCCTGGTACAGGGTCAACTTGCTTATCTTCTTGCATAAAAAGTAATGTCTCAGTTCAGTTACTGCTATTCAGAGATTTGAATGATTATATAATGTTTCCACAAAAGGGGTGTGTGTGTGTGTGTGTGTGTGTGTGTGTGTGTGTGTGTGTGTGTGTGTGTGCATGCACGCGTGTGTGCACGTAAAAGAGAGTTAAATATGTGTATGCATGTGTTAAATATAGCTCCGCCATCTTGTTAGCGTCACCCCCAAAGAATGCTTATATATTCTCTTACTTTCTCTTCTTAGTTCAGCTCCGATTGCTGGTCAATGGCTCCTTTAGAACCCTAACTTGGGAAACTAAAATGGAATTACTGTTGAGTTGGAAGAAAATGTGTGGCAAGAAGTAGCTTGAATCTGGAGGAAGCAGGTTGAGACCCTTTCTGTGAGGGAGACCATGTTGTATTTGGCCTCTAAGCCGTGAGTTGGGTGTGGGAGCACACAGTTAGACAGGAGACCAGATTGCTGCACAAAAACTTGAAGACTATGTTTTCTGGTATGTCCACAAACTGTCCAAAATTTCCGTTGTACCAATAAATAAATAAACAAATAAATAAATAAAAGGCAAAAATAAAACTTCCTACTTCCTATTGTGGAAAGCTGAAACTTGATAAACAGCGTCATTAGCACACAAGGGGATTTCAGTTCCTATAAAAAAGATATTTGCAAAGGTGTGAAGAAACCAGTGGAAAAACAAAGGAATGGAGGTTTACAGTTGCGATGTGTAGTCAAAAAGAACTCTGTTACTGTGCATTTAAAAAATACCTAAAAACATTGGATTTCACAGCTTTCCCCTAAGTACGTCGCGTAGCACAGCTCACTAACAAGTTACATGTAGGTGATATTAAGTTTGTCCATTGGTAGCAGCTAAAAGAAACACACAGCTTCACTCTGAGGTGGCCAGATCTTGCACGGCTGTGACAGAGTGTAACGAATTGCATGAAACGTCTGGCCGTGCTCACGGGGGCCCAGGATTGATCCACTAAAATACTTCCTGCCAGGGCCCGATGCCTGTGATTTATTGGTGACAGTATTATCCATTGTTTATCTCAATGTGTGTTTTCAAATTCTTGCCAGAATGTATCATTTGGCCTTTGGGTACCAAAAGATTAAAAACGAGATCTTAGAAAGCTTAGTGTCCTGTAAGCTCTGACCCTGTCAACTCTCAGTGATTAAAGGCATGTCCTGACTTTAGGGACCTCCTGGCTGCTGGCCATTTGGAAAAAGAGCAGTAAACATGTTGTAGGTCTGGGGATGAAGAGGATGTTAAATTTGAGGTGTCGATGTGACACTGAATTGTGGTCACTTGGCTTAGCGCGACAGCACATGAAGGCAAATACACATAAAGTCACATTTTAGAGCTTATTCATGGTCTCTGACCACGTGAAAAAATTGTGCTTTCTCCGGAATTTGGTGTGCTGAGAGTTGCACTTGCCCCCCCCCCGCCCCCCAGCCCCTTGCTTATTTGCAAAATGAAATGTAAAAATGAAGTCCTTTGCAAACGTAAGGCTTGCTTGTTTCTTCTCATTATTTAAAAAAAATAAAGGCTTGAAAATAACTCTATGGGTGTTAGCTGTGTCCAGGGAGTGATAACCCGCCCATCGCTGACTGGCGGTGTAGTTCTTGAGCTAGGGATGGGGTGGGGGGCTGGTAGGGGGAAGGGGGAGGATTTTTACTGATCATCTTGACTACATAGGCTTTCCTCTCAGTCTCTACATCCCACATCAGAGAACTGAAAAGAGCAGCTGGCTAGGTGTGCCCTTTACTCTCTTGCTCTGTTAATGATCTGTTGGTACAAAGGCCTTTTTGGTAGGAACACAGGGCGAGAAGCGGGGAGCGCGTGAGTCTGCGCCTCAGTTCCCTTCATCCTGTTCCTGTTCGTTTTGGAAGAGGATTGACTTAATAACTCCTGTGGGTTTTAAAGACGGCCTCAATACTCCGATCACCACGAGTCTTAAAGAAACCAGAGTTTCCATCTTCCGTGCTTTTTGGACTCAGTTTTGGATTTTTGCTTGGGTGTCGAGGAGTAAGTCTCCTGTGTGTAAGGCGAAGGTACAACCTGAGTTTCCTCAATTGGATGCAGTTTCTTCAGCACAGGCTGCAATTTGTCTTCTTGCTGCTTGAAATCCAGCTCCACACTAGAAAGACAAAGGAAGACTTCAGTACGTGTTCCTTCCTGTCTGATAATCCCCCTCTGGGACAGCAAACCGGGGTGACAATCCTGTCTGGAAGTGGCTGTTCTTAGGTGACTTTATACATTCATAGTAACTGTACGGCATCCTGTTAAGCAATTGGCTATATTATGTTTTAACTTTAGCTTGCTTTGAAATTGCTTTCAAATGAGATTATTTTCACATGAAAATAATTTACTTGCTTTCATGGGTGGAATAATGCAGTTTTGATGTATGTAGCTGGTGTGGACATCTGTAAGGTATCTGTTGAAATGAAAACCGTGCAGTGAGTGATCTAATGTTTATCCTGGACTGTGCACATATCGCCATGTAGTGGGAGTAAGTATAGACTATCCTAACACATACCTGCCAGGCCCACGCAAGCTCTGTTCTATGCAGCTTGTCATCAATCAGAGAAATCTATTTATCACCTCAGCCATCGTGCAGCAAAATGACCTTGGACTGCATTCTCCTTGTAAAATTTGACTCATCCTAGGAGCCAGAGTGTCTGACTGAGGCTAGGGAGCGCCTGGTGTTTATCAAGTCTACACCATTTTATAATACGCAATTGTTACCAAATGGATTTTCAGGAAACAACACAGATAGTGTTTGGGAAAAACAACAGAAACTGTAATTACATTTCCGCAGCCAAAGTGTGCAAACATGTAGTTCCAGGGGAAAGATGTTTGCCAGTAGTGATGTTTTCGTTAGAAAGATACGATTAAAGATGGCTCTTCAAATGTATGTTGCTACTCAAGAAGTTTCTATGAAGAGTGCTTTCAACTCACCTGGAGTCGTCCCTTCTCCCCAGGACAGGGCTGTCTTGGCTGCCCTGCCTTTCCCTGTCTGGGTTCCCTGGGTCTGTGGGACAGAGTCACCGACCCACTTGCTATATTTCTGCCACTATCCACAGCAGTGGGGATTGCCTTTCTGTGACTTTCCCACTCATCTTCGGCACCCTGTGGTTTGGGCCAGGGAGCTGGAGGATTCTGTGTCCTCTTTCCTTGTTGAATCTGGTGGCCAGACGAAAGGTCACTAGATTTCATTAGAGGCTCAGCAACAATAATAATGCAAATGTTCATAACCTTTTATAACTAGTGAAAACCATAAACCATGTATAAACATGAAACCCTGTGGATTTAGGGAACCATTTATACTAACCAAATTTTGACATTTTGAAAGACAAAGTAGCAAAACTATATTATCTGGAGTTTTCAAAACAAGTTCCAGTCCTACCTAATGGTTCTTTATGTTTTTAAATTCATTGCTACATTTTACCAATGGTCAAAGATTATAATATTCCTAAAAATATCCCCAAAACTTCTTAGACATGTTTATGGCTAGTTACCCTATGTTCTTCAAGCAAACTCTCTTTTCCTTACTTCAAAGGCCCCTGTGAGATCTGCCATGCATAGGGAGTGGAGTGAAGGCTCAACTTCATCATCCTAGCAACTTAGGAGGCTGATATCTGAGGATTGCAGTTCGAAGTCACCCTGGGCAAGAATAGTCTGTGAGATTCTTACCTCCGCTTAACCACCAGTAAGCCCAGAGTGGACATGTGGCTCAAGTGGTAGCAAGCACTCCAGCACTGAGTGGATAAAAGCTAGGCAGGTGCACCAGACCCTGAGTTCAAGCCACCCCCTCCCTACCCCATCCCCAAACGGCTCATAAACTCCAGTCTCATGACTCCAGAATGTGTGAGAGTGAATGGTGGAATGGTCCCTCTTAGAAACAGCTGTGAAAAGTATAGGCGTACGTCTGCACTGTGCATGTGAAATTCAGGCCTCAGTTCTGGAGGTGGTGAGCGGGTCTGTGACTCCTGCCCCAGTGAAGAGCCAAGATGGAGGTCTGGCTTAGGTCCTGCATCTTGTTTAAAGCTTTATAGTTGTTGTTTTTTTTTTTCCACTTTGAAAAAGGATAGTAGTTCCTGTCTTACTGAATTGTGATAAGAAGTTTCCTCCCTAAGAAAGGAGTCCATGAAAGAATTTCTTAAATACATGTTGTGAATTGGATACTTATTTTATCCACATCATTATTTGTGGATCACTAACTTTCCAGTGGGATCAAGGGCTAACTCAGAAAGAGATCTATTAGAGACTTCTCATTTCGCTAGCAAACAAAAACCCCTTGACTGAGTCTCTGAGGGGTGGCATGCTGGGCACCGGAGAAAAGTGCTACCAAAGTGCCAGGGCTGGTTCTGAACACCTGTCTTCCAGGTTGGGGCCATTTCAGATGTCCTGCGTAGGTTTTTGGGTTGTCAGGACAGTGGATAGTGCTAGCACTTCTTAGAGTTAACAGTGCAATCCTGGGTACCTGTAATTATTGAATTCCCATTAAGTAACTACATTGGGAATCCTGTTATTAACCAATTTATCACACCGCAGAGCCGTGTAATCACAGAGTAATCTAATCTGAGTCCTTGTTAACAGAATGACTCGACTTTATCTGTCGAGTAGACTCTGTCCATACTCCTCCAGAAAGCTGTCCTGGCACACTGCAACCAGATTGGGCTTGGTGAGCCACCTGGAGCCTTGAGAGCCTCTGGGACAGGCCTGCAGTGGGGCGATGGAGGGAGCGAGTGGCGGTAAGCCCTGTCGCAGGCTGCCACGTGTACAGCAGTCAGGTTGCAGGCATATCTGCTTGTGGGGTCAGTGTGCATCACCAGGCAGTCACAGGAACCCTGGCTGCTAGCAGGCATGTTTGCACCGTGCTCCACTGCTGTCTGCTCAGATTTTCCTTGGTGTTAAGCTGCTATACCAAATCACTGAGAGGTGAAGCACACAGCTAGACACAAGCTTGAGTCCATCTGTCTCTGGCCAAGGTAGAAAGGGGTTCCTTTAGTCTTAACAACTAACTATACAGCTAGAAGAAACCTGTCTCGAGGACATTCCAGGCCGCTGCAGCTCCTCTGACTAGCCTTCCATCCATGCATGGCTCCTTGTCCAGATAGGGCCATGGGGAACCTGGCTGATGGGGGCTGGTGATGGCTTTCACTGAGACACTGGAATGACCTGCCCCCATCGGTAGCGGGGATTCCTGTGCATGGCTGCGGTCACAGTGTTGTCTTCTTGAAGGACATTGTTTACCCCTCCTGGAGCACCTGTCATCAGTTCCTAGCAGGGTTGTCCACTCACCATCCTGCTGCCATTCAGGTCCACAAATGTCTGGTCACTTCCCACTTATGCGCCCACCTCCATCCTCCATGAATTCCTCCTGCACATTAACACGGAACTCCATCTGTGTCTACACTATTTTTGGCTTTCTTTTTCCTGATCGCAGGTGCCATGGCCAGGGGAGGAACGGTGTGCTGTGTCCGTTCCCAGCAGCTCTGTCTGAACCTGAGTCACGGCAGCTGCCTAGGCAGTGTTTCCTGCATGAATACAGACTGGAGTCTGGAAGGCAGGTCCTGACTCAGTGCTCATCCCAGTTGCCCTGACCCTCCCAGTGGGGTTGCTCTTCTTACCCTGTTCCCAGTGTGAGGCCCTGCGTAGCACAGACACACGGGGCTCCTCGTGGAGACAGTGAGTGATGCAGCAGGGATTTAGGCAGGCAGTCTATGGCCTGACTGCCCTCTGCAGCACTGGTCTGAACCGTGTTCTGCAGGATGCAGCGTGCCGGCCTGCTCCCTGCTTCCTCTCCCTAGGTGTCTGCAGGAGCTTGGTGGTTTGTTGGCACCTTTAGGATTGGCCTTCAAGTGGCTAGTTTCTGGTGCTTTCCTAAAGGGGACTGGTCAGATCATTGGTTCTCTGTGCCTTCTTCTGTGCCAAAGGAGGGTCTGAGCCCAAACTCTTGTTTGTCCTGTGATGATGTTGCTTCTAATGGCCATCAGAAGCAACCAGGGGGCCTGCACCAGAGCAGAGCTTGCTCTTCGCTGCATGGGCAGATGGAGTGTCTGAGATCCGGATCCCTTTGTCTCTTTAGACTCCATTCAGTTGTCCAAGTCTCTGTCCGTGGCACTTAAAGCAGGAGCCTTTCTGTGTGCTATCCAGCTCAGGGGCCTAAGCTGGCATTTGTAATCCCCAGGCCAGCAGCTATGTGCATCTTGATGAAGGGGTAACACCTCAGCAGGTTAAGCAGTCAGAACAGTGTCGTGGCTGCTGATTTCAGAGCGTGAATCTCCGGGTCTGGGGCCTGGCAGGCTCCCCCCTAGTGTCTGCCCTTAGGCGGAGGCAGAGTGTGAGTTTCACTGAGGAGAAGGATCCCACAGGACGTCTTACTATTTCCCTGTGTGTCGCTCTTCATTGCCTGCTTGCACGTCCATTTGTTCCCCTTGCTGACAACAGAACCTCCCCGTGTGTGGAAGCCCTAGCTCTGCACACCTGCGCTCACCTGGACCCCACAGTGCCATACGAGCCGACGCGTGCTTAAGTCAGGTGGGGGCTGTTTCTTCAGTCTTCTTCTCTTAAAAATGAGTTTTAAGTATGCGGACTGTCGTAACAAAATTATTATCATTATCCTATATGTTTCTAAAGAAGTAAAAATCTGCCCCAAATGTCAGGCTGTGCCATCAGTCACACTCAGCTTTGCTTCCTCCCTGGGGATGGCTAGGTTTTCAGGGCGTCTGCTCCCAGCCACTTCCTAATGAAGAGCAGGGTCCTCCTTTGTGTCTGATGCTTCCACTGTTTGTCTGTCTGACGCTAGTAGAAGTACCTGGGCCTGCCAGATTGCTTTGCAAGCTGTCTCCAACTCCTCAGGTTTACTGGATGCAGTCAGTCTCTGACCTCATTCCCTCTAGGTAGCGGGGAAGAGTTCAAAGTAGATGACTTTGGCTCCAACTACTTGTTTGTTTTCTGGAGTGGAAGAAAACTTGAAGTCTTTGATTTCTCTTGTCGGCCAGTGCCGAGTGGCTCAGTGGGCTGCAGATCCCAAGTCTCTGCTTTTAATTCTCTTTGAATTAGATCACAGAGTCCCTGGTGCTAACCGTGGCCCTGCACCGATTCATGCTCTGCTGCTGTGGATAAATCAGC